CGGTCGATGTAGACTGACTGCATCAGGTCTCCTTTGTAGTAACAGCACTGTCGGAAATAGTACGGCTAAGTGGGGAGACGTAGACGAGGTGAGAATAAAGGGCAAAATAGTCAGCCGTAATTGAAGAGGTTCTCAGCTCGCCCCTCTTCAACTCAGTCAAGCCGAGCCGAGCCGAGTTTTGTAATTTCCGCTTGTTTAGGGGATGTTTTGGGCAGTGTGTTGCACGGATGTGCCCTGAGTTTTGGGTTCGGGGTCGGCTGTTTCCAGTGGAGTGAGATTCGGCCGCAGGCAGGTCGGCCTAAATTCACCCACCGTGGCCGATTGGCCCAGTCTCAACTGGCCCAGCCCGGTGAAGCCTCCACGTAATCTAACAGAGCCCGACTTAGCTTTCATACTGAAAAAGGTGAAAGGGTACGTCTGGGAATACCTGATGTTGCGGATCCTCGACCCTTCCTGCGAGGAGATACCTGACGTTGCGGGAGGCGAGAAAAAGGGAGACATTTTGAAGCACGTAAAAAATATTCCGAGGAATATTTGCCACATTTTTTTGCCTTCCTTCAAAAGCTATTGTTTCATCGTCGCGTTTCTTCTCGTCGCTGATGCATCTCTTCATTATTTTGATCATCTTTTATCCAATGGATTTCATATAGCCATTCAGGCAAACCTCCCCGCATTAGCGCTTTTCGTTGTGTTTCTTTGTTACTTTCTTAGCATTGACTTGTCTCTCTTAATTTCCACATGATCAGCCGAACCTCATCTTTGTTTGGTACATTATTTTATCCAAGCAGAATAGCTATACTTCGCTGTAGACGTGCTGCAACTTGTTGACAACTTTAGCACGCACCGTCTTGCAAACACCTTTAAGTTCCTTCAGCAAACATGCTATTTCATGGCACACTTTTCTGCTCGCAAAACCATTGGAACAGAGACAAATTCACAGCAATTTTATGCAAAAGGGGCAACGGGGGGGGGGGGCGAGCAGTTCGCCGGGTATGAGCCGAAAACTGCATGCTCTGTTCGCTTTTTTTTGGTTCAGGGTGTTCCAGGTATGGTACGGCGGTGTAGACGTCGATCGGTGCAGTATGCGAGTTTTTGCGATGGCTTTCTGATTCGAGGGAAGGACATCGAGGCGGAGTGCTTCCATCGCCAGTACTTTCATTTCTATCGAGCGCGAGTGAAGCTACTGCAACAGCGAATCCTCAGAAATGCTAAACAGCTCCTCGGTATGTCACAAATGGGCGTATGCCACAATAGAATTCCATTCAGTCGAAGCAGCAAAACGTTTTTCCATTGCTAGAGCGAGTGGATATGCTTAGGCGAGGAACACTATACCAAAATTTCAGCCGTCTAGCTTTTGTGGTCCCCGAGTTGAAAGTGCGGGACAAAATGTGGGACACACACACAAACACACACATAGACAACCCCGTGATAATATGCGTTTTGTACTGCTGTTACACAGCACAAAACGCATAAAAAACAATTCGGGAAAAACTGAAATAAGAATGACAAATCTAAATAGGAATGTTTCAGTCCATTAAATCGTTTACACTCCTATTTAGTACTACATTTCTACTTCCCATTTACGACTGTTTTGGTAGTAGTAGTGCTTAACAGAAAGAAAATTGAATAAAATGGAAGTAGAAATGAAAAGTAAAAAGCGAAAGTTTTTAGCAAAAATAAAGGTTCTATCGAGCGCATCGAAATGTGATTATTGTCTTTCGATGGCCTCTAATTTTGCTGACCTGGCTTTATGCTTTGCTTTGTTTAGGTGTTTTTTTTAGCACCCTTTTCTCAGTTCTTTTTGCCATGTATTACTGTCAAAATATCCCAAATCATTTAGTTTTCTGCTAAACTAGATTGATTTGCTTTTTTAAAAAGACTTTATTAGTATATAATTAAAATAAAATGAAAATAGCTGAATATTGTTCAAAGATATGATGCATACGCATCGAGCGGACGATGATTACAGACTTTATAGGTACGCAGCCCTGAAATACTGTATCTGACAGAGCATTTAAGTAACATCAGTAAATCGGGTTTCCTGCACTAATCGTCGGATATTTTTGATGAATTAAATCATATTTCACTGTTTTACTTAATTACGGATGCCAGTGTAAAATAAAAGTGTAATTTTTGCTTTTTTTTATTTTAAAACTTGCGGCTTACTTTATTATTTTTTAATTAATTTTTGAAAATGTTTTTTATACTTTCCAAGTTCAATTTTTCTTCTGTTGAAATTAATTTTTTTTTGGATCGAGTTTGATTTGCAGGTGAAACTTTGGAGCCCTCTCGACTTACTGGAGCAAAAAAAGAGCATACTGTGCTGGTTATTGGTACCATAGCGAAACGAGTTAAACTGAGGCCCAGTGTGCTGCGCGATCTTGCCGAGGAGCAGCTCATTCTTCCTCAGCCAATCGCCGAGAACAAGTAAAAAATTTATTTCGCAC